AAAGACGTACCTAAAACTAAAGTGGGCCAGTTCTCTATACGAGAAATGAGACCCTTCAGGAAGATCTGATGAAGAAACAATACTGTTTCGATATTCAAAAATACACTGTTCACATCTTCGTGGTAGTAAGGGGGTTTCTTTGAATTAGCAGCCATCTTAAAAGCCCTCAAGAAACAGCTTACTAATGTCTCCATTTGTTCTATATACTCTTCCTCGGCTTCCATCGTTTGAAACACTAACCTGAAATGAAGAAAATTCATTCTATTCTCTTCGCTTACGGGGTGGAGAAACGCAGCGAGAATATGTTAGAGAGGTATAAGATGAATATACGACGTTGCTGAAGTTGAATATTACCAACGAGATAAATTTCAGAGTGCTCCTGAGAGGATAAGTCTAACAGGAATTTAGGAAACTCGTTCGACTTTCATGCAGTTTATATTAAGCTCTGTTCGTCTTTTATGCAGTCATAGAAAATCTAGAGGGCGGGGAACATGATCAGATGAAATTTAAATAAAATATTTGACGAAGAGTGAATATACAATAATGTATTATTTTATTGGACTATTCTATCACAATATTTCAAATGAGTTTTGTCGTGAACAAAATTCTCCCAAATTGTTAATAAAATGTTTCCACATTAAAAGTAATATTAATTAAATTTTAATTCGCTAAATTTGATACGGATCAAACCACATAGCATCGTTAGGTCAAGATAGATCAATAAAAAAAAGTCGCTCAATTTGTGAAAATTGGTAGACGAACGAGCATTTAATTGTTCAGTCTCAAGTCTAAGTCGAAGAATCAAGAATAATTAGCTGCTGGCTCGAATAACTAATAACTCTAATTCTCTTACGCGAAGATTCATTTCAACTTACTTCTGCCCGGCGAAGATTCTTTATCTCTAACGTGAGCTCCTCGCATTGCTGCCTCGCGTATATTGCCACTTATAGCTGCCTTCTCGCTCTCGACAGTCTGCAACAGGTGCAGATACTTCTCCTCGGGCTTCTCCTTTTGCAACCGCAATTTGTTGAAACTGCAATCAATAAGCAAGTTGTCGACGGGTAAACAGATACGTCTCTCTTTCCTTGGTTACATTTTAATTGCATCGCGATATCAACCGAGTATGAAATTTTAATACAACACTGATTTGTCGAGCTCCGGCGGAGATTCAATTACAGGGATTCATATTTATGTAACATACGGAATCACGTTGGAACGTGATAAATTATTTACACATGATACATAAATACAGGTATATATAAGGCAGTATAATAAAATACAGTTGTAAACCGGATCTCAATTTTTCAATTATTTTTAAAAGCACGTGAATTTGCACGAAAGTTCGCGGTCCAATATTATGAAATTATAAAAAAAGATATTATAAACTCTACTATCTATGATTTTTATATATTTCTGCACATTGCGTGTTTTTTCCGCGTTTTCGCATTTTTAAAATCCTTCTGAACTATAAATTGTAAAAGTTCTCTGACAAATGATCGAATTTATGGTTTCTCTAATTAAACACAAAAATCTCGTGATTCTTTACTAACAGTCGTACTTTCGTATTACCTCCAAGGATAGCATGTTTTTGTGATACTATCTACCCTTTAGTGTAATGAGAAAGGACTATCGATTGTAACTGGAAAGAGAGAGAAAGAGAGAGAGAGAACATTCGTAAATTGAAACTTTTTATATTTATTTGTATTATTTGTAAATTTATTTTAAATGAAAATAATAATAATAATAAAAGCGTTGATTTGACTGGATCAAAGCCAAGATTTTGCTCGAAATTTTCAAAAAATTATTTCAAAAATGGCGATCCTGCATAAATTTATGTACACGTATACACGACAAAGCTCATTAACAATTTTATTTTACTAACATTTTATTCGCATATAATACTGTAATAATTTTCACGTATTTATAAATTTTTATGAACACAAAAAAATTGAAATACTCCACTTTGGATATATTTCATATATTTTTTCGTTTGTCCGTTTTCTACGAATGCATAAAAATCCGCGTTTTGGTATAATATGATCAAATTTTCTCCAGTTTGCGATATTCACTGTTTAAAGAAGTACGTTTCATCAAGAAGAATGAGCGAAGTTTCCTGAATTAATCGTAGCTCCGGAAGCGTCGGAATAAAAAGATCGAAAAAGAAGGATAAGTTTAATAAATCTGTGACAGATCTGTCGTCGACGTCGGTACGTCTCGACAGAGAAAAACATCGTAACCGGGATCTTTTATTATCGAGTCTGCAGTTAATGGAACTTGGCCAGTAATCCATCAATCGGTTGTCAAGGAACGTGTTCTTTCTCCATCGTGAAAGCGCACATCAGACGTTACTTACGGACAATTTGCCGTCAACTCTGATACGAAACTTTCTCTCAAAGAAAAAACAGTTCGAGTTTTCTTTGTTACAATTTTTTTTTTTTTTTTTTTTTTTGTCATGCCAATTAAGGCGGGCAATAATTTTCTCTCCCTCGCCTAATCTGTTACGCCACTGTTTTCTCCTTGGAATCTTGCAGTTTATTGGAAGTTCGTTCATACGTGACAGATACGCCTCGATTTGCAAAGTAAACCTTTCAACTGATAGTTTCGTGGATTTTTAATAAGAAAAATCTGTTGGTGTTGGTTTCTAAGCGAGAGAAAATCGCGCGCTGTTTTCGCATGCGAGACAAGCTCCCATGAGGAGCTTATTTATAGCACGAAACAGAATCGATTTATCCCTTCTGAGGGGATACGCCACACCGTGGTCTCTGAGACCGGTGTTGCACAAGAAACGGGCGAGCAAGGAGAGACCGAAGTGAAAAAGCGGCACAACGAGCGCGTGAAGAATAAACCGAGCAAAAGATACCAGGGCAGGGGAACGAGAGGTGAAGAAAAAGAAACGGGAAGAAAAGTGGATAAGAGAGGGAAGGAAACGAGCTGTTCTTTTAGTCATGAAGCGGTTTATTAGGAATTTAGAATTTCGTAGGGATTTGAGGATCTGTCCGACAAGAGATTTGCTGTGAGTTTCACACCGATCCAGTCACGTTTCGGATTTTTTGTGCTTCCTTCAGTCCACCTGAGAATTCACGAAAGAGACCGCGAGATTTCCCATCGAATTTTAATCGTACCTGTATAATGAGTATTTACACACCTTCCTAATACATTTTACAATTTATAAAATAATCATCCCTTTTTTTTAAAAGATGTCCAAAGAAGAATGAAAAGAGAACTTTGCAGAGATATTCCGATTGTTCGCGATTTGACAGTGTGTGAAAATAAAATTTGTTGGATTAAAACAAAAAGGTACCATGCGTTTTTAAAAGGAAGGAACTAATTATTAGGAGAATTTTTTTTTTAAATTTAATTTATTAACGCAGCTAGTTATATAATTCTATCTCATTTCTAAGATTCCAGCTGATTATCTATGTCATTTTAAATATCAATGTATAGTTGAATGTTATTATTAGACTGTAGACTTGTATGCATTTATACCAAATTCGAAAGTATGGAACAAAATGCGTGCAAAAGTATACAATACGTTCAAAACAAATTTTTATTTAAATTAATTTCGTTTAAATTTTTGTGTCTTTGTATAAAAATCCGCAGCCTAGTCATTGTGCCTAATGAAATTTTAAAATAAACATATTAATATAGAATATTTAATGTGATAATATCATAAAATATTCATAATATTCACGACGAGACGTTATCATATTCATAAAATGTACAAACACTTTCGTAAGTCATTGAACTGCCATATATGTATTATACAGGTATAAGAGTATTATCAAACTTTAATTTTTAGTATCTTTTAATATAAATATAAAGACTAATAAATTATTAATATTTCTACAAACACAAAAAGATTACAAGAATTCGTTTCATATTTCTTCATCGTTATATCTTCGATATTTGTAAGATATACAATTTTACAATTTTTTGAAATCTCAAGAAATTGAGGTAATTATAATATTTTGACAAATTAATACTT